TTGATTATACTTAAATTATATCAGGAAATGGATATTTTCCATTTTATTTTTACGTTTCGAGATATTTTTCGTAATAAATTTTCCAAACTTTATCAGTTTTCTCAGAAGTTTCTCAGAAAATATTAAAATTTTTCTTTTTAATATCGCGAAACAAATTCTTAGAACACTAGAATTTTTAACAAACAATTACATTTTTTTCGGAAATACTTCAGTTCTTTCCTGTGATTATATACAGAGTGTCCCTATTTTATATTTGATTGTCAAATATAAAATAGGACACTCTGTATATATGGGGTATATAGTGTATAAATAATGAATATACTGTTGGTCTCTTGTTATTTTATTTTATGATATTGGAGAATTAAAATTATATACTTTTAGTTTGTGGGATGTATACATGATTTTTCTGGAATTACAAGAAGATTTGCGCAATTAAAAAAAAGCAGATGACGTTATCGTGCACACAATACTCACACACGATTTTGTTGACGGTTTTGAAAGATTGCATCATCTTCATTATTGTTATTGTAAATAATAACGATGGTGATTCAACCGTTCACGCGCAACGATAATGGTTACTTTCGTACGCACACATCGAATGTGCAATCGCGATAATAGTTTTATTTATCGGCACTATCGCGGTCTCGCATGACCGGATCAGGAACTCATTTAACATATATTTAATATTGTCGTGCCGATAAATAAGTAATTCGCCATTATCAGATAAGAAAAATACGCGCGATCGTACAGATATAGATTTTGCGTATCATATATTCTTAAATCAAACGGTCGGAAATATACCGCAGGTATCCATTCTGTTTTTCTTTCCCTTTGTGCTTGAAGTGAGCACATAGAAGTGGGCTACAGTCCAGATCGTAATCGTGGGCTATGTTACGAAATCTAGGGCGCGGGTTTCGCCGGCCAGTCGCATATCGGATGTATAATCGCGTTCGGGAATTCGTGCTCACGGTCGAAGTAAAAGTAAAAGTCGTATAGTAAAATTCGCGACTCGTTGAATTAAAATCAACGTGAATGTGTAAGTAACGTCCTAGGCCAATGCGAGTCGAAACATTCCTCGCCCGCGTAGCAACGTTCGGCGCTTTTGCTTAGCGTTGATCTTGCCCGTACAACTGCCTGGCGAAAATAATGATTGGAGTGAATGTTCGGCTTCTGTTACTCTCTCTCTACATTCAATTTACGGTTCGATTTTTATTTTATTTATTTTCTTGCTGAGACTCGCGTTAATTTAAAGACGTCATCCTTGCGTCAATTTTTCTGTGAAATCTTGCTGATAACGATTGGCCATCCGTGACAAAAATAAAACAAAAAAAATTCTATGTCGAAGAAAACATCTACTTTGAAAACTGCATGATGCAGCTGCGTACAATTCATTACGTGACGTCGACTTTATTGCGCGATTTGATACCGTACGTTCGTTCAGCGAACAAATTTACGCAGAAAATTTTTGAAACATAAACCTTCTGTTTTTTATGCGTGAATGATGAAAAAAAAGAAATTGCACCGTATAATCTGTTGATAAAACATACATTTACCTTGAGCCACAACAATCGCGTGAGAATCATCGAATCATGCCATTTGAATGGAAGGAAGCAATCTTTATGTAAGCCCGGCGCGCTGTAAAATCGCAATTTGCGTGAGGAATACCGGATTTTACATATTTATGAAATAATAATATGTTTTACTGACGCGTTGAGAAACGAATAAATAAGTAAATAAATTCTCATAGTTGTTTTTCGATTTTGCAAAATTGCAAGGATGCATGTATACATAATATCAAGATTTCCGAAATCGTCGATATAAAATTTAACATAACGTGTTTTTACGAGCCGCGATGAGCGAATTCTTTGGTGAATGATCTCTCGGAACGATTTTTTAAAAGCGCAAATGTGAAAAATACTCCTGATCTTTGTAAAAATTTCCGTGGACGTACGTACACGTCTCGTCTCTTTTCAAAGTCCGATCTTGATATTAAGGAATTACGCTTAACGTTACAACGCTGAGTAACGAGCTTATCGTGGTGACGCGGTTAACCTTGAGAATGCGATCCGTCTTCGCGAAGAGATAGTAAGACTACTTTCCATAGAGTAAATTTAGATCACACTCGCGAGATTCTGCGTGTATGTACAAATACGGTACAGGCCGCGTGCGATTTTGCTTGTTCTCGACCTTTATCACCGTCAGTCATTAGCCGCATGGATGTTGCGCTAGAAGACTCTTTTACGCCGGATATTATTACGTAAATAAATTTACTTCGCCACATGCACTGTTGCAATTGATTCGCCAATCTCGCGTATGTTTTATTATTTGTTAATTGCGAGATTGTAGCCGTACCTGGTAATTTGCGGCAAAAAGTGACGAATTATAACGATTAGAACGTTATCTTATAAAACACACTTTATGTTAATTCATACTCTTGAAATTTATGTAATACAGAAAAAAAACTACGGATATAATACTGAAAAAATACCACGGAATCGTCGTGCTACAGTGTTGATGATCATCTGATGATTCTTGCGTCCACTTTTATTAAAATGATCATAACGTCAAATCATCCTTCTTTTTATTGATATCTTGTTATATCATTGATACTTTTTTATATATATGTTATTTAACTATTAACTTGTAGATTACTTGTAGCTATTAACTCGAGGATAATATATTTAAAATGGAAGACAGGAAAACATCTTTTTATTACGCCGGAAATAAAGTAATTAATTCGTAAGCGAGTCTGCGATAAATCCATTTTTTTCGCATATCGTGACGCATAAACATTGGTTGGAGTTTGATCGGTTTTATCGGTTTGACAAATTAGCATATGTTTTCACTTTCCTATTAAACTTTCAAAGTAGCGTTTGGTTTATCGAAATAAAAACTTGCGTCTTGTATCCGTTCTTTTGTTCGGATTTATTACATTCAACGTCAACGGTCATGTAACAAAGTGTCTGATTGCAGATGAATATAATTTCGCGAAATTATGCGCATATTGATTACTACAACATTTTATGTGCAACGTTTAACTTTTTTGTTCAGATTAGATTAAAATTATTCAATAATCTTAATGATCTCGATTCGTGGAATTTGCGACATTTATCTTAATTTACGTAGATACTTATCACGAATAAAAAAACTACATTTAACGCGATTCATCTATAATGCAAATGTTACGTCAAATCAAGCATAAAATTATGTGTATATCACGCCTTTCTCTTTTCAATTTTCTCAATTGTTTCATCAGTTCTGATTAATAGATCAATTAATTTCGTGTCCCAGATTTACAATTATGTTTATTCTCGTTTTTCTCTCTTATAATAAATTATAAAGTAAAATCTTAATCTCCAGAGATAAATCTTAATCACACGGAAGACAAGGAAGACAATAAATCAACAGCAATTATAATCGTCGAGCGCTAACAAACTAGAAACGTTAAATAGAGTAAGAGATGTCGTAAGATGAGTTATAACAAAAATTCGTTTATTACACAGCAATTTTAGTTTCTCGAAATGAATTAATGGACAAAAAATATTTTTAAGAAACGGTTATTTAAAGATCTAATTAAAATATTCGTAATGCTTTTAAGAAGCGTTTTATTTAACGTTTCAATTAAGATTTGTAAAAATATTTTTAGAAAGGCTTTTAAAAACTGCTCATATGATTCAGAAGAAATTAAATTTTAAATGGATGTCTCTCTATTTCTTTTTAGAAAACTAACTGCTCATTTTTATTTATTGTGGATTTACTACTTAATTCGTACAAGCGCAGATTAGATTAATTCTCGCTGTGCAATCAATTTACAAACAGAGCGGAGAAACCGCTTTCTTGGCGGACCACGAACGATTCTATTTTCGTAGCTGCTGATGTGTCGGGGGGAGAGGGGGGGAAAGACCCAATAATTTCTGCCTCTCTCTCGGTCTGTGCTCTGTGTGGGATAACGAAGTTCAAAAAAATTCCGCCACGGTTATATGTTCAACGACCGATACGACCAATGCCGTCCCGTATATAAAATGCGCAAACAATTTGATATCTTCGCTTTGTTCTTTGTTGAGGACGATGAAGTTCTCTCTCACACGCCTCGCGTGTTAACGAAGTTTAGCCGAACTATCAAGCCGATCTGTTTAAAGCAAGCCGGTTCTTGCGAGATCATCCTCTGATTGCTTGCGTTTATCCGATCTCTCCTCATTATACTCGCTTGTTGTAGACCAACAAGTAATTAGTGGTTTGCAACGCTCTTATTTGCGAATAACAATCCGAGACTTTTATGAACATCGTAACGTCGAATCGCGTATATACTGCACTATGTTGTCAATTATATACATGATTTAAAATTGACGTGCAACATTTTAAATAATGAGACAATAAAATCGACAATATTTTATGTACATACGTAGAATTATCTCTTTTTCTCCGAAGTTTCTCCGACGTAATATGGAATGTAACAAACGCGACGTCGCACGTCACTAATACAATGGGGTCAATAGTTAACAAGATAACAAAAATTGTCTGATAGTCACGATTACGTCGTAGTAATATATATGTATATATTTCACGCAAACCTGTTTTTCTGATGACTCCACGAATTAATTTCAAGTGCTACAGCAGCCGCATATAATTTGCTTTTGCGGCACTAATAGTTTATCACGTCCACCGACGTTGTTAATAACTTTTTTTTTAGTGTTTAGCTTTTTTTTATACGCAGCATGTTTACAATACGCTTATTTTTTTATATTCTTTATTCAGTCATCAACTAATTAATATCATTATATCCTTTGCACACAAGCGATATTTTCAATTAATTAGCACATGTTTGACATAATTAAATCTCAAGTGTAATTTATTCTGATAAGCATTCCCTTAATTTCAGATTATTTTATCGTTTCAGATTGAATCAATAAGGCATGCGCGAGCGGGTCATCGTGAACGCGGAGCGATAAATTTCGTCTGTGAACCAGATAATTATAAGAAAGTGCAGTGAACGGATGTGCGCGCTCAAACGCGACCGAATGCTACCCGAAACATAATTGTGACGTTACTTCTTCTTCTTCATTTCTTTTTTTTTGTCGCGCCGTGTGTCGCGCGAGCGAGTTTGCATACCGAATCACCGAGTTTTATCTCCATTCGCCATGACCACCCCGACGCATTGCTCGCCGTCGCGGTCGTCTTTGAGTTGCTGCCAGTTCGACCGTAGCAGCCGGGACGACATGCGAGAATCGGCTATCATAGGCAACAACAATTACTTCCTGCAGCAGGAGAAGCACTCCTTCCCGAAGAGGCCCGAGGTCGACCTGTCGTTTCACGATATACGGTACCGCGTCAAGGAATGGAGCATACGCAACTTTTCAATCAGTAAGTAGAGTGTTTGAAAAAGGTCGAAACCTTGGATAACGGATTACTCGGGAGGATAACGTTTTTGAAAAAAAATGTTTCAAATAAAAATTGTAAGATTTTGAGAGGCATCTGACGACGATCTTGACCTAGAGGTCAAATTTAGGAATTATTTAAGTTGATTTTTTAATTTCTTGAGGGATCATTTTGATTACAATAACATGATCACATATCTGAACGTAAAATATTCCATTCTTTTCATATCTGGTGTAAAAAATAGGAGTAAAAAACTGGCGTAAAAAATTCCATTCAAAAGAACCAAATCAAATTCGATATGTGTATTAATATAACAATTGTGCGGCAGTTCCGGGTATACAATTTTCTTTAAATAATATAAAATAATATAACAATACATTATCTTTTAGCTTCTAACATCCTTTACTATGACATACTTTTTTAGTATTATCATTTGATCCTTGGGTTATCAGCGCGTCATAAAGATTATATACTTATTTCTTATAGCTTCTTATTCTCTCTCTCTCTCTCTCTCTCTCTCTCTCTCTATTCTTACCTAATATTTTAATATTGGACATTTAATTCTTTTGCACTTGCATCTTTCATACAATTGTTATAAAAATATTTTGTGAGTACAATTCGCGATTTCGTATTTTTAAAATAATTTTGCTACAACGAATGAATTATTGTATTCCTACATTTTATGTTATATATTATTATATTATTACAGATTTGTATAAACATAAATGCATTAGCATTATTGCAGTATATAAAGTACTGTATATTTTGTAAAATGATATATTTGATGAATGAGACAAGATGTTATAACAGTGAATTTTCTTTAGATTCGTAGATGATAATCGCACGTAAGTGAAAGCAGATTGTAATTGCATAGCGCTCAGGAATAACTGAACGACGATGAGAGGCTTCGTCTTTTTAACCTTGAAAAAATCACAAAAATTACGTTTTAAATGAAAAATGCATGATTATGTTAAAATTTCAATTAAAATACCTCCCAGATACGTGTCGCCATGTGCGTGTCATACAGAGACGTACTGATCGTTCGGAATAATTTGACGATTGCTTTAATTGCTTTAAATAACCGCGTATATTGCGGGATTAGTGACGTACTTAAAGAGAAAGTATTTGTATCGTTGGTGTAGCTGTACGATAAGCGAAGAAAGTTTTAAACGGAGAAAGTATCTTGCGACGCGTTTTTGAAAATACAACGTACGGAAATTCATGCGGTGTGGAATTAATAATAATTATCTCTGCTATTTTCGAGCTACTGCAATAGGATATCAATAAAAAAAATGTTGAGAAAGCAAAACAATTTAATGGATTTAATGAAACAACAGCCATCGTTTTTAGCTGCTATAGAAAGTGGAACATTTTTTTATATATATATAATAACCTTTCATTAATTTTTTATTAAGTTAAACATGTTGAGAGAGAAGGAGAGAGAACGCAAAGAGTTGCATTTGTTCAAAACTAGATCAACAACATTCACCGCACTGTGGAAAAAATGTGTCTGTTATTATAATTATGATGTGACTATCACTTTCCCCGTTGTCACACAGCTTATAAATTCATTTAATTGAAATATCGAACCGGCCGCGGTGCGGCGACGACGGGGCGGTGATCGTAACTCATATCCGCATCTTATAATGCAGTCCCGTTCCCGGTAGTCTGTGTGACAAGTTGTTTGTAACACGCACATTAATAACAATTTAAATTTGCGGCTTGTTATATATAATTTCGTGCTTTATTTTTTATTAGAATCCGTAATATAAAATTAATATAAAATTAATTATACTAATGTTTCACAAAGTATCACCTTGTTTATAATTATAATATGCTACCGCTAATGATAGCATTCATCTTGGGAGGAAGTATCTTGCTGTATAATTCTCCTTTACATAATGGGACGTAAAGCCTGACGGCGCTCAACAGGATGCGTATTCTATTATTTATGCCGCACGTTTATTAAGTTTTATGTAAATGTCGCTCTTTCGAAATTCGCGGACGCGAAATCAATTGTTTGGGATTGTGAAAGAAAGTAATGTAAAACGCTCGGCGGAGTTTGTTGCTCCTTAGCAGGATATTTCACGCTAAGCGTATGCATATTTTAAAATAAGTGAAAGGAATAAAAATACATTTCTGATGCATGCGCTTATATTGTACACGATCACTGTCGATAGGAAAAGTTTTCTGCAACCAGATAAGAATCCATATCGTAATTCATTCGCGTAATAGGTAATAATAAGCAACGCAGATAAGATTGGATAAAATGCGATACATATGTATGCTCGCGCGGGTATATCGGAGTTGCGCACAAAAAATCAAGCAAGATACTTGAAGAGATATTTTAAGATTGTCTCTTATATGTATATATATATATTTTTTTTTCCGTTAAGAGAGTAGTTGCACAAGAATTATTTTTGAAAGAGCGCGTTAAGTGATAAATTTTTTTTACTTCACGTGGCCGAAAAGAGGCCACGATGCGAACAACGTGACTCGAATAATCGATCAGCGTCTTATCTTTTCGATGTGTGCCGATTGCACGTACGTATTACGTCCGTATAAAACATCGAGAGTGTGTCGCATCCGCCGTAAGAATTTGTATTATTCATGCGCCGAGAAAGGAAGTTGTGCGTCACGAACGGTGTGCCACGTAGAACAATACGTGCCATGCGATTAAACTGGTATGGCCGATTCGATGAAACATCGCCCCGTAATTCGTGTAGCGATTTGAAGAAAATATGAGTAAAAAGATATAGCGCTGACGAGTTTAAAGAGAGATTCATTTATCTACACGTCGAAACTTGTGTCGTATTTGCGCTTCCTTTTGATTTCTTTTTAAAACGGTGATTTCATCGATTTCATCGCGAAAGAGAGAATTATTAACGTGCATATAATTTATTATGTGCGCATGTTTATATGAATGAAGTCGAACAGGTGTTTACGTAAACTCGAGATTTATATGCGAACATAGAGATCGGCCTCTAAAAGCTGCTTGAGGAGCTCGCGGTGGAAGCACCGAGGGAAAGCCCCACAGCTGAGTTATTGATGCGTGCCGTGACATTCACATGATTTGCAAGCGAATAATTCAAGATATGAAGCGAACGGAATGAGAGTGGAAGATTAGTCATGCGAAATGTAGGATACGCTTCTGCGCCTATCTCACAGTGAGACGTTCCTCTAATAGCTAGAGCGTGCTCTCAATGCGAACTGAGGCAACCGGAGGAAGGTCGAATCCGGCGATTTTCCATTTTCCATTTCAAGCACGCAGAAATGCGTTGTCGCGTTCTCGCTCGCGTATATAATGGGAAATCAGATGGAGGTCGTCTCGTAAGAGAGCTCAGGGTTCCGAAAGTTTTCCAGAGATATTTCGTAAGAAATTCAGTCCTTCCTTCTCTGGCGAAAGAGAAAGAGAGAGAGAGAGGAGAGCTAGGATCCTTTCTCATTTACTTTTTGCTTCCACATTCCTCCGAGCACGTGTTCATAGTTTCGCGTCATAGTTATACACAATAATTGTTATCTCGTGTTTACAGAATGCCCCCGGCGATCGGGCATTGTGCGCGGCGCGTTACGTAAAGTGATTAAGAAGAAATATAACTCATTATCATCCATCTTTTTCTTCTTTCTCTCGCTCTTTCTCTCGGTGACATGAAGAAAACGGCACTAGGTCGTATTGCTGCAACGTTCGCGCGTGCTCGTCACGCATATCCTATATATATATACTTACTATGCGTTTTGTATGTCGCGGAACGGTCTGATCGCCGGCTGCCATGCGATTAGCTTTAACGAGCTTGTTCTGTTATCAATTTATCACGAAAGTAGTTCAAGGTTTGTTTGGGCGAGCACATGCAAGGTTGACGGAAATAATCAGAATCGCTCTAGAAACGATATTCGTCTAGTTTCATGCGCGTCTGTCGCCGCGGTGTCTTCAAAAGTGAAGAGATAAGCGCGATTTGCGACAATCAAAATCTTTGTTCAAATCAGCACTTCGTTCGTCTTCTGTTTGAAGAAAGATTAAGAAAATTAAGAAGATGAAGATTGAAAATATTAAGGAGAATTCTTTTGTGCTTCCACCTGCATTGTCGATAAATAAATAAATAAATAAATGTAAATTTCGCGTTTAAAAGACATCTTGGTACGCAAAAAAAATGGAATATTTTGTATATATCCTTATAAAAATCTAAGTAAAACTTTTAAAGAAAAATATTAATGTTTATACATATGTTGGTATTAATATTCAAGGTGTTATAGATAATAATCTTGCGCATTTATTAAGTTGAAAATTGCTATAATGCTAATTTATCATTTATGCAAATTTTCTCGTATTTTAATGCAATAAATTAACAAAGCTGGATTTCTTCGGGGAAGGTCATAGATAGATATATTACCACTGTTATTACCATTCTTTTTGTATTACACAGAGAATAAAATTGCACTTGTTACTTGCTAACGCCAATGTAACATTAAAGATTTTATTTCTTTGTTCAAAGTATTTCTTTTTTTTACTATGATCCTCGTCTATGTCTCGTAAATGTTCGCGCAAATAAGACGTCATTTGATCTAGAGTCAATGACTCCAAAAGCAGCCTTGAAGTAGCTGTGCATAAAATGACGCATAAAACGACGAGCCCTAATCCATTATATAAATCTTGCGGTTGGCGTGCAGCAAAGACGTTAAACGTTACATTGTTCTGATACGTGCTCACGCTGTTTTTTTACCTCTCGTGCGGATCGAGCTGTTAAGTTAAAAAAAAAATATCGCTCCGGGAACACGTTTGACATGAGACGAATTACCAAGTGAATCATCGCGCATTAAATGACGTAATCATGTAATTGCGATCTCGTGCATCTCTTGTTGCAGGCGAGAATGAGATTCTGCACGGCGTCAGCGGCGAATTTAAGTCTGGCGAGTTGGTGGCTATAATGGGGCCGTCCGGAGCCGGAAAATCGACGCTGCTGAACGCTCTCGCCGGTTTCACGTAAGTACCAAAACTCGGGTATTGCTTCCTGATAAATAACGTTAAATGGCTTTAAAATTAAAGCGCATATTAATTTTTAAAATTTACTCCTTCCTCGTGCACGCGCGAATCTTATCTATAAGACATATGCGCATCCTCTTACCGTACGTTCCTTAACATACTTTCTGAATGATTCAATTTTATTGCTTTTTATTTTTATTTGCGCGAATCTCACGAGCGCGGTTCAAAGGTCAAAACGTCCCAGTGTGAACGGGCGTGTGCGATACAGAAACCTGACCTTTGGTAAGATAACGCATTTGAATCGCGTGTGTGCGCTTCAGGATCCCGTAGGCGAATTCCATTATTATTCCATTATCGAAAAACAAAGTTTTCGAGAGTACTGTATCTAATAGCAATTTTTCCGTTTTCGTAATTCGTTGCGAGATCGAATGAGCATTAAAACGGAAACGCATTAGAATATAATAGGATACTTATCGTCAATCAATATTAAATAATGCGAGAAACTTGAAGTCCATTCGCCATGAGCTATCTTCAGAACGACAAGAACAGATAAATTACATTCAATATTGAACAAAATAATGCAACAATCTTGAAATCGACTGTATCCATTAGTTCTCTTCTACAAGCTATCTGCAAGCTTGAGAACGATATCGTTTATAATTCATTCGTAATTGATTCTATATGGAAACAGAGTTTTTCAGAAATTAGTTTTTTTTGCAAAGATTATATTGTAATAATCGCTGTACATAATGCGTACGTGCGAGATAGCATGATGAGGTAGTTGTTGCTATTATCGTGGAGCACAAGAAATATTCAAGCTAAACTATTTAATGAGTACGCTCACGTAGAACACACGTGTTGAGTGATATCTGTTTTTTTCCTACAATTCCAACAAACGAGCATCGTTTTCAAATTAACTCACACGGAAACTCTTTCTTGCGCCTCCCCCCCCCCCAAAAAAATTCTTCCTGACACAACTTCGTTTTTAACAGACAATTATTAATAGATTAAATCTCGCAGAGATCAGTAACTGCCACGTGTTTGAATTCAAAACGAATCATGTGTGTATCCTATAAATTAGTATTATATTTTATAATTATTCACAAAAATCGTGTAAGCCTAACGAATTTTTCTTACATTATAAATTTTTAAAATTTCGATTTGTTTTTCACGATTTTTCTTATTTTGTTTACATATCGACACATAAAGGTTCTTACAATCAATTTGTAACATGCCGAATTAATATAAGTATTTATACTTGCTGAATTTTCAAACTTTCCGCGTGCGAATGTTCGACAGGCCTTTTGAAATTTTTTATGTTGCAAAAGATAATTTTAACGCATTTTTATGTTATGCAATTATTACGATAAGTATAATTCGGAATATATTAATATATATATAATTTAAGCAGTCTTAAGTATTAAATTCTTAAATAAAGTACAGCTAATACATACTAATTTGCTTCAGCGGAACTAGTTTTACACCGTTTCGTCAGACCTTGATAATTCTGTAATCGCAGAAAATATTAAAAAATGAACGTTGATCTAATGACTGGAATATGTATATGACTACATATACGGAAGAGAATTATTTATAGTACTTACAATTATGTCGCGATCGTGTTGCTTTTTTTTTGGAATATTATTTTTGCATCCGTATCTGGACATGTATCTTACATGAGTAACATTAACAATAATCTCCATTAAATCGTATATTTTATATATTCGTACATTAAAGTTTTTTTCCCTTTTTCTTACAAATATTGTATATTACATAAAATATAAATTACATACATATTTTAACAATATGATGTTGCAGAAAATCTATTATCGATCTTGTTATTATCGATCTTTTCCATGTAGGAAAGTACTAACAATAAGATAAGGGCATTAAAAAAATGAAAAGATACTTCACGTACTTTATCAGAACGTCACGAGAAAATATGAATTTCGCAATATTAGTTTACTTCTTATGACACGGTCTCGCCTTAATGTAAGAAAAAATTTTTACATTTATGCCGCGGATTTCGAGTTAAAAGGATATGAATTTAACGTCAATTAATTAACATTTCGAATTTTAACATTAAATATTAATTCAGTTACATTGATCAAAGTGTGCAGTGAAGATTACATTAAATGTCTTTAGCTATGCTGAGTGGAAAAGAACAGATCGTTTTTCTTCTGACGATAATTACTGTTTGGCTTGCATACCTCGACATATTAAAATTTAAACTTGTTAAAAAACTATTCCGCAATACGCTTAAGTGTTTAATAGCCGATTATCTATGTATATTTCATCTTCAGATCGGCGCATGCGTATTGCACACTACCATATTATTCATGTTACTTATAACTGACCTTCACTCTCCGCTTCCATTTTAAATGTACTGCATGATATTAAACCGATATCAACTATGTCAGTGTATGATAGATATTGTTAAAATTACATAAAAAGATATTGTTAAAATTACATAAATAGTCAGTAATGTTACGAGACTTCAATGTTACATCGTACTTTTTGAAGGCAAAACGGCCGCACCGATATGAAAATTTTATACCCTTTCACATTGCAACTATCTCGCGTGTATCTTTCAACAGTTTTTTATCGCTGGAAGATCGCGTGGAATTTTTTTGGAATTTTTTTTTCCAACAATTGTAATTGTTCGCATATATAATACAAATATAACGATGGCAATAGGGTGTCAGGTGTGAGCGGTGAAGTTCGGATCAACGGTAAGATTCGAGCGCCGCAGAGCGAACGATGGAAGAGGACCTCGTGTTACATACAGCAGGACTCCATTATAAGAATGTACATCACCGTGGGAGAGGCCATGACTTTAGCCGCACATTTGAAGCTCGGTTACACAATCAGCTCGGCCTACAAGCACGCTCAGGTTTGTGACAGTCGTTTACACTTTAATTGTCGCGTCGTAAATTTTCCTCCCCGCGGTCTGACCTTTCTTTAAAAAATATATATACGAAGGATGCCTCGTGTTCGTCAGTTTCGAAAGAGAACTTGAGAAAGATCCGACTATTTATCATCAATTTCTCGATTTTCCTCCTCATTTTCCTCACGACACGATTTATGGATTATACGTTGCCTGCCGCACCCCTTCTTATTCTACTTTGCGCTCGATTGTGTACAGGTTTTAGAACTGTTGGAGATGCTAGGACTAAGCCATTGTTATGACACGTTATGCGGAAAATTGTCGGGAGGGCAGAAAAAACGGCTCGACATCGCCTTCGAACTCCTAACTAATCCTTCAGTATTATTCCTCGACGAACCAACGACTGGTAAGTAATATGAATACAGATTGACACAAGATTATATAATAAAAAATTCTGAATTTAAAAGAATAATTAAAACATGAAATCTTAATTAATTCTTAAGCGATTTCGCGAGACGTAATGTCTTCGACGTGATCATTAAAAATAAAAATTCTGAATAAAAAATTGATGAAATGAAAATAAAATTTCTGAATAGGTAAAAAACAAGTTAAAATACGAATTAAGAAACGAAGGAACGTTATAAAAGTATACATAATATTATCGGAAAAAGAATTAAAGAGACGTCAACAGTATTTAAAGAGTACTTAAGTACTTTGAAGATAGAAAACGTACAATAACTTCAGTAAATAGACGTTTTTGCTAAATGGTATTGTGATTAAGCTAAAAAAACATGTAATAGCTAGCTAACGATATATATATATATATATATATATATATATATATAATTTTATAATATATATATATATATATAATTTTGATCCGCAAACTAATAATTGTATGCGGATTTATGCTTATTTAAACCTTTTTTTACCCATTTTTATGAGTTTTTATTAGCTATTTGCGTCATCTAGCTTTAAAATATCTCATGTAAATTTAAACTGATTACGAAATTGTATCTCGTTACAAATGCAGTTAACGATACGACTGCTCGAGAGATACTTAGAAATCTTTGTTTATTAAGTTATAATTTATATCAATAGCTGAAGGCGCAAATAACGTTATCATGTCGCAAATAATGCAGTTAATAATTGCGATGACAATCTAGTATTTTATACAATAAGCGTCATCGTACTCGTGGCAGATCGCACGATAGAAAAAAAGGTTGTGTGACGTTATAGTAGTCATGCCACGTCGTGATATAGTCGAACGCCGCGCGCCGGCAGAGCTCTCGCAACAACCTGTCTCTCGCGATGTGTATTTCCGATTACCTCATTCTATTTCCAGTCTCAATTACGCTTGCTTAATAAACGCTGCACCTGTACGATAGACTTTAGATCTATCGTCGTGATTGCATCATCGCAGGAGCATAATATTGTTGCACATATCGTCAGTCGTGTAGCCCTCCCCAAGATAACGCGCGAAGATGCAATCGCGAGATATCAAGGGGGATTGCCCTCAAATTCCGTGCTTCTTAATGCGTTGCGTGCGGGGCACGATTGCGAAACTCGTTCCGTAGAACGAATGTGTATTAGCGCTTTCTAGGACACAACGTGGATATTATATTGACCCTTTCAGGTCTGGATTCCTCTTCGTGCAGCCAATGCGTCGCTCTTATGAAACGATTGGCGGAATTAGAAAGGCGTACGGTAATCTGCACGATTCATCAGCCGAGCGCCTTGCTCCTGGAGATGTTCGACTCCCTGTACGTGGTGGCGAACGGTTACTGCATATACAGAGGCCCGGTTAGCTCGTTGCTGCCGCACCTGGACTCCGTCGGCGCCCATTGCCCGCCTTATCACAATCCAGCGGATTTCAGTACGTAGTCTTAGAACAACTGGAACAATTAAAGGCAATCTTAAGTCCGAGCTATCTCTCGTCGCTTCTGAAAGTTACAGGATTTATTACGGGCGAATGTTATGTATGTGTAGCTAGCAGAATGCGACCGAAACGGACCAAGGCCGCGTTTCACCGCGGGTCACCGCTCGCGAAATCGTATTTAAGAGAGATTTGATTAAATTGCATAATGTTACTCAAGAGCGGATTGATTTACTGCATAATAATACAGTAAATTCTCTCGAATAAATTAAGCGATAAGTCCTGAATAAAGTTAAGTTTCATCTAGAAAGTTTTTGATATATTGCCGACTCTTACACAAATTTAATACTGAAGAGATCAAATAATTACTTATTTCGAGTATTAAAAGCACTGCTTGTTAGTGCTTTCTATACTCTAATTAAGTAATTTACTTGGCCCTTCCAGTAATTAAATTTCTATAAAGAGATACGGTTACATGCACATGCAGAATTATTTTTATAGAAAAAGATCTCTGTGATAGCGTCCCGTTATCTGATCTGTTGTAAGCGCTTTACTTGCGAAGCATCAAAGTATGAACAATTGCGTGTCAACGTCTCGTAACACGTGTCGACATGATATTTGAATAAAGTTGATTGAAGTACATCGATATATACGTGGCGCGGCGGATGTTGGCGTTTAACATTCACTTCGAAAGCGTTCTACACAACAGCGAATAATCACAGATTCTAGAAATAATGATTTTTAATTCTTAAATTCGTTTCAGTGCTCGAGGTGGCGATCGGCGAATACGGTATTCCGCTCGATAAGCTGGTGGCAGCGGCCGAAACGTTACCGAAGAACGAGAAGACGATCGCTCTTACTACGAGCCTGCCTGAAGAAAGTAAGGTCACTTCCTCTCTTTCTAAGAATTTTATTTTAGCCATAAATCTATCTTAAGATGAAATATTTATCGGACTATTTATATAAGGTGTTCCAAGATTTTGAACGGCCAAATTACGCCAGTTTTTCGAGTAAAAGTAAAAAAAAAGTTATCTAAACGTAGAAACATAATAGAAGCTTCATAGATTCGTAGAAACTTTATGAAAAAATTACAACAAAAGAAACATATAATTTAGCGCTGTGAAATTGATCTTATTGATCGAAGTTCAATAGTTGCATCAGATAGTCAGTCCATTGCACGCTACATGCTTCGGTATGTTCAGTAGAAAAATATTTTCTTTTGTAAACGTTACGTCAGTATAGAATTATTTGTAAAAAATAATTAATGTTGTTCAATAAGTAGAAGATAAAAATAAATCCGACAATCGTCGACAAGAACGGCTGACATTTTGAAATGGAACAGCAATAAAATTATACCGTATCCTACTTATAATTTCATTTTTTTGTTATAATTTTTTTTCTAAAGTTTTTATGAATCTATGTTTTTTTTCTTGTTTTTATTTATAAAACGCAGCGGGAATCTATTTCGAACATTGAGAAGGTATCTAGAACATTCTGTATATAAACTAGCAATGTTTACGTGTATACACAAATATTCCATCTTTTTATAGATACTATAGTATAGTACTTTTCTTACAAAGGTATGGATATTCAACAACTTAAAGCTATTTGATAGTCTATAAATATTATGTTATAATTACGTAACTCATACATTATTCATATTAAATAAGATTTCCTTATAGACACAAGGACACAAGGATATAAATTTTCCTGAAAAAGTTGTATGTAAAATGACTTTTTCCTATAGCTTCCTTTCTTTTTCTTTGCTCGCTAATGAATATGTTACAAAACGTCGGTATTTTAATTGGTTTTTTATTTATTTTCAATTTTGTTTTAAAAAACATTTCTGTATACTCAAGACAGTAAATTACCGAAGAGCCGCGAAAATATTATGCGAGAAGATTTATTAAAGATTTATTAGTCTGCAACATTAATATTAATGCTGATTTGTACGTATTATTTCAGCGGACAAAATCAAGGAACCGCCACCACCTGCCGGTTTCCTGACGCAATGCTATCTTCTGTACAAGAGACAACTGTTAAGCTTGAAAAGAGACTATTCGTTACTGGTGGCGCGATTACTCTGTCACTTGCTAATCGGCGTGATCTTTGGGTACCTGTACATGGGAAGCGGTTATCGAGCTAATGTCTTAGCGAATTATGTCTACCTATACGGATCGATGCTACTCCTTGTTTATACCGGAAAAATGGCTGTTACTCTTGCCTGTAAGTAATTAATCATATCTAAAGCCTTTTAAACCGTTTAAGTATAAATATTTAGTCGTAACAAGTTACAAATAAGTTACAATGAGAAAATATTAATTAGTATGTTTAAAAATTTGTCTGTTTTGTTTTAATGAATGACTAATAATAATAATAATAATAATAATAACAATAACAATATATATGTGTGTATGTGTGTGGGGCGGGGGTATATATATTATATTATTATTATTAATCATTCATCAGTCGTTCATATATATATATATATATATATGCAAATTTAATCATTTCGTTATGACTCTGCAAATTTATACACATGGCAAATTTAATCATTTTGTTACGACTCTGCAGAAAATAATGATGAAGAAATAATTCATGTTCCTCGTTCTACAAAATTTTCAGTTCCGACAAACTGAATAATGTATAATATAAAGATGAGAATAACAACTTGTGCTTTATTATATACTATTGATATGTTAGCCGTATTAGTCATCACAATGACAGATCCTTATTAGTCATATTGATATTATAATATTCTACGTATAGTCAGTAAAGCAATTAACGTCTCTGATACATTTAGAATTTTTATTTTTAGAAACATTATATAATTTAATTGATGATACTATTCGAATTATTTATTATAAGGTGTTTTATCTATGAATCTAAATTCAATTATATTAAACACATCTGTAATATACGCACTAAAATCCATAGCTAGATCATATTTTCCATTCAACATTTTTAACCTCGCATTTGATGTAATTGTTTTAAATTTCACAAATGTTACATTTAACTTTATTTAATATTTCCATTAGAACCGCGTGACGCATCAATTATACGAATATTGATTTTTGTTAATAATTTGCAAGATTTTCCTACAGAAGTTGTTGTATTAATTTTCATCATCGAGACAGATTTTAATTAATACGTCTGTTTAAATCAAATGTGACAAATCATACATCGTGTTACAATCGCGAATTCTCTCACAAGGAACATATGTAAATTTAATGCGGGCGCATTTGCTGCGGCAATTTTCTAGTCAGCGTGCAAACAGCTTGACTTCGACAAGTGAAAAGTGCTCGTTTTTTGTGTTACCTCTGCAACGCCGTGCATGCTAGATCAAATGATATTGAAGGCCAGATTTCACTCGTTTCTTTCATAGCTTCATTTTACGATTTCATGCGATCTCGCGTAGGAACAGATTTCACTCCGGGCCTATTTGACTTCCGAAATTTTGATGAATGTATATATGTATATACGCACGCAGTGAGTACGTGCGTGTAATATTGAATTTCACTAGCTCTGTTGAAAACGGTCAATCAATATACTTGTTCACAGCTGTCGTTCACCAATCTCACTTTTCTTTCGAAATGCCGTGCCGCTGGCCGACGGATAATTATCTTCACTGTTGCTGCATCAAGCAGTATGTAATATTCGTGAACGCTCGGCTGTCATTACTCCGAGATGTAGGTCAAGGAAACGCGAATATATCTCTGCCACAGCCGTTGTGATTAAATTTCATAGAGCGATCACCCGAAGCGCGCGGCTCTCGCCTCGGTGCATCTTGTGGCTTTAGAGGAAAATAAGACTCGCGAGGAAAAATAAATCAGGAAACCGAAAAACGATTAATAACGTGTAACATATTAGACTTTAATGCATATCTGAGCATGTCGACAATATAACTAATTTATCATGGATATGATTAGATAATTTATTGTCTCGATGATTGTCACGAAGAAATGATGGATGTTTCAATGCACGGGTGACTCTGAACATTATTCTATACAGTGATATGTCTTATGTAATTCTGTCAGCAAAAAATACAAGTATCAGAAAAATGAATGAAACTAATTGTACGAAGCGGATGAATAATAATTGACTTGTCTACAAAGAAACTATAAAAAATCAAACCGAGATCCGTACAAGTAATTTACTTAAATATTTCGTTTATTCACGTCGTGACTATAAAATCTGCGGTTTCCTCTCTTCCTCCGAGAAAAAAATTTTATCGTTTACAATACGTAAATGCGTTCTATTGTATCTTCTATTTCTATGCGTATATTCATAATTCACATTATATATATTAACATGTTTATTTTTAAAAGCGACTTCGATCAAACTTCGATTAATTTAATTGATGATGCTCAATTTAATTGACAGAATTTTAAAAAATGCTTCAAGCGAAATTTATAATTATTCTTTATCTGTAATCTTTTTTTTCCACGTGTTAAACGACAAAAAATTATTTTATCTAAAGATTAACAAGATTATAGTACGGGTACTTTTTTCGATAAATTAATTATATCAATCAAGTTGATCACAATAGTCGATGTAAGCTAAGTTTCCTCAGTCAGAATTCCTGCTTCGGATATCGTTGTCTCGATATATTCAATGAGTATTCAGTTTCAGTTTATACGCCTGTTTGTTTCAGTCCCACTAGAGATGCGGATTCTTATGAGGGAGCATTTCAATCGCTGGTACCGGCTGGCGCCGTATTATATCAGCATATTGCTGGTCGAGATACCCTTCCAGGCGGCGTGTGCGGCATCGTATCTGGTGGTGAGCTACTGGTTGACCGGACAGCCCATTGAAACAAATCGTATAATATTCTTCATGGTAGTCAGCATAGCCGCCAGCCTGACGGCGCAAGCATGGGGCTTCTTCATCGGCGTTACCACGCCGATTAAGGTGACTCTCTTGCCTTGAATTGAAGAGAATGCCTCTCTCCTTAAGTGACACTGTAAATCCATAAGTTTGTTCTGGACTTAAAGTTACGCAATGGATATACAGATTAATCAAGTCACAATTCCCCGAACAATTCAGCTATTTGTCGGATACTGTTGAATAATAATTATTCTAAGATGTTGACTCTATCTTTCAACTCTTTTTATATTCTATTTTCATAATCACATACGTTAGCAGTATTAGTTTTATTTTTCTTGCGTATATGTATATATACGTTGTTAAAGATTGTGCCTTCGCATTGCTTAGCAAAGAGACATTTTTTAAAATTCACAAAAGTTCACAAAAGTTTCGAACCATAAATATTATGAATCACATTATATCCTTTTTGTTGTCTGTTTTCAGTAACCGCGATTTATACTGGAGTACTTAATAATTTAGTTTGAGTCAACGAATTAAGAATTAAAACTCGTTATGCAACACAACACAAGTGTTGTTGAAAATAGACATTTACAATATGCTCACGTGTGTCTATTTATTTATGAACATATAAATATTATCTTGTGTATACGTTCGGATCCATTGAGAATTGCGATGGAATATGCTGTGTGATATTCAACTTTAGATGTAACGCAGTTAGAAGGACGTTGAATTTCGTAATATTCTTTGCAGATCGCAGTCTTCATTGGTCCGATAATCGCGGTGCTGTTCTCCATCTTCGGGTTCTGCATACGTTACTTCGATACACCGCAGGCGTTCCGCTGGATGTTCCATATATCATATTTTCGTGCGGGTTTCCACAGTCTGATATACACCGTGTACGGATATGACAGGATGGACTTGCTGTGCGACGAGTTCTACTGTCACTACAAGAAACCAATCAAGTTTCTCACCGAGATGGAGATCAACGACGTAAACGTGGTCAATAATCTGGTACTCATCCTCGGTATCGGGGTGCTGATGCATCTTCTGACGGCCAGCGCGCTTTGGTGCAAGCTTAACAGAAGATGAACCAAAATACGATTCTAATCAAATACAGTATTTATGGTATTGCAGACAGTTCCTTTGGAGGAACGACATAAGAAATTCTGATTCTCATGCTTTTCCCACGTGAAACGCGAAGATACAAAGAGAGATCCTAAGGGAGAGATTCCAAAATTGAAAACTTTCGGAGTTTCAAAATTCGGAAACTCCGAGACAATTGGAAAATCGTTAGAAATTAACAAAGTCATTATTCCTTTAGCTCTTAATCTCGCTGGATACGAGATGTTCTGCGATATTTCGAGAATGTGTTGCACTTGGAGCATTTAATGGAGTGGGAACCGTATGAACAAATGCCACTTATTTTAAAATTATGACAGCTAGTACATACGACATATAGTAAGCAGTCTGCTGCGATATTGGTACTTGCGCGCAGAAGACAAACGTATCCTTGTATATCTTTCTTTGTCACACACACTTGGCCACCCTTTTACGCCATACGAAGTGAAGGCAATGCACACTCCATTTATATGTATGGTTCTCTAAGGTTTTCCATAATCGAAGATCGGAGAAGACGTCGACTACCGAATTTTTTAAAGTTACAAGTCGCAGGAACTTCTTGAAGTCTATTTAAACTTTAAAGTACTAGTAGGGATTATTTTTTTGTATTAATCGTGACAAGACGCTATGATCGTCAGCAATTTCGTTCGTAAAAAGCGGTGGTATTCAAGGAGTCAAAAAATGACAAGATTTATATAAAGCTGAATATCTGTATATATGTAAGCCTGAGTGATAAAGGACAAATATACATGACACAGCGCGCATTGAACGCCGCTATAGTTTATAGTTGTATTTAAAGTCCAAAAAAATGTACTAAACAATATGATATATTAGTTTAATGTTTATTTAATTCGCGTTTTTAGTATTATCTATGGATATGTGAAATTATCTAAATATATGCGAAAAGGTTTTATTAATTTATAAATATTTTGCACTCTCTCTATTTGCACACAATACCTTATCATCATAGAAAATACATTTTTTTTCGGAAAGAACATATGCGACCGTATTTTATAAAAAAAAATATATAAACGGAAATAAATACCTGTATTGCTAATTGTCGAATTTTTTTTAAGAGAAACTATGTTCTTTTTTTATACCGATTTCCTATATGAAATTCATTTTTTGTTATAAAAAAAGTACTATGAATCGTTAAATAAATTCATTTACTCTCATTTTCTTTATTTCGTGCTGCATCTGTGTTATTTTTACATTTAAATACATATTTTCCGAATCCTTATACAATACGATATAATCCAAAGTGACACAATTTCATCACCTCACCAGTTAGTAGACCTGACAAATTTATATACGAGCACATACTTTTTCATACGATTAATAATCCTAACATGATTTTTTTAATATTAAACATTTTGCAACATCAATGAACATATGAGCAACACGAAGGAATAGTCTTATAATATTACGAAGTTATCAATAATTGAAGAAAACTACAAATGAAATACGTTAAGTATTATACATTTATGTATGGAGAAAAGTTTGGAAATAAAATTGAAATATCACAACTTCATCTCTTATCGATTGATCAATTTATCGTAGATTAGATAACATTCTATGTTAAAAAAAATATGATTCTAGAGACAGATACATTGCAATTTTCTCAATAAATATTGTCATCCTTCAGCAAATATTATAGCTGATTAAAACGTCACATTAATTCATGATGAAAATATTATTATCCAAGACCACAGTTAATTTTCCACGACTAATTTTATATTTTTCTCAGAGAGTAATGATGTATAACGATACAATTTGTATTAGAAATTTGCGCAACGCAAACCGGTCAGTGAGAATCAACTTGTGCAATGATAGTTTGTTTCAAAATTTTTTTATTTTCCACATTATATGATATCTCTTTCTTAGAGTTTACAATAGAATTTATTCTCAGTAAGAGCATTTGAACAGTTAATAACAAACTGACAAATTTACTTCCTTAATCTTACAAATATTCTATTTTATACTTCATTTTAAACTTAATCAGAATGGATTAATATATACGGAGATACGAATATATTTATTCACTTTAATTATATCTAGAAGAGCATTAACTTAAATATAAGCATCGTCTACAGAAAGATTATTCTTATCGCAATAGTAATAACAACAATAGTTGCAGTCTTATTCTTGCATATTTAATAATTCTTGAGAATATTTCCTATTGTTCGTTATACTTTATTACACAAGTGTCATAAACATAGGTACCACACGCAAAAGTGATATTGCCATCACAGTAATTTCTACAAGGAAGGTAATACTGTATTTCTAATTTGCTCTTTCTTTCTTGTAACTTTAAGTATTAAAACTGAATTAAAATAGCGACTAGAAGTAAAATTAATGAAAGACTCGATGATGTAATCTTGATATAATCTTTCATCTGCTGATTACATGAAGATAAAATAATTTACATCAAATTTATTCTATAGAATATTGCAGGTATAATATGAAAATGCATGTTTAGTACCTCTATGTTATATACGTAAATTTTATGTACATTACGCTATTTTTTTTGTAAATTAAAATAAGCTGAACAAAAAATATCCTAAATATAAAATTGTTTCTATTTTCTTGTCAATATATCGTATCTGCGTTTACTTATATCTTAAAAACTTTATGTAATAATAATAGCAATAATAGGTTATCTTTGCTGTATTTCA